TAATGGCTCTCTCGCGAGTCGTCAGAAATTCAGCCTAACTCTGTCTCTGCTCACACGCAAACAACCTCAGTCTCTAACTTAGCGGCTTTCTTGCAAGTCACCAGAAAACTCGGCTTAACTCTGTCTTTGTTTTCATGCAAGCAGCCTCAGTTTTCAGCTTAACGGTTCTCTTGCGAGTCGCCAGAAACTCAATCTAACTTTACCTTTGCTCTCACAAAAACAGCCTTAGTCTCTAGAAACTCGGTCTTAAAAGGTGCATCTTTCTCGTGAGCCATCCACAACTCTTCCTCTACAGTCCCGTCGTGTATTCCTCTCCCTTATCAGAGTTCAATTGATAAAAAAGGATAAGGACAAGACTTCTTACTGATGCTCTCTGCCCCAAATCCCATTGGGCTTGGAACATTGGGGGAAAAATGACAGGCACAGACCAAGGCCTAGTCCAGAATTACAAATCAGACACAACTTAGAGGTCCAATTTAAAAATACAGACCAGACCCAAGTCACAGGTGCAACCAATCCTAGATCAGAAATACAAGCCAACAAGGACCAAGTTCATCGTCTTAATTAACCTAGTCTACCAGTGACACACGTGAGATCTCTATCTTTGGAAGGGAATCAGGGTATGCATCACAAGCCTCAAGCACCTCGTTCGTTACGTCAACATCACGGAACCACGCACTCTCGTCACAAGGGTAATGCCTCAATTATGGCTCTTCGCGATGTCACCTCCTTTAAAGCCCGATTTGGGAGCCATGAAGACTGTACTCCCTATAAATTGTAAGTTTCGCCTATATATGGAGGGCATCACATATATCTTAACATGCTACGCCTCTTGAGTAATAAGATTCTCTGGCCACCGTAGCTATGCCTAGTGAAGTAGGTCACCCAAATCAAACCACTTATTCTTTTTGTTTGCTTGTATTGAGTCATCTTACTTCATCCTTTATTGATTTTGCATAAACCCAACTTGTGCATCATCAACGGATATTGAGAAAAATGTTATTTACTATTTAAACTGGTCCATTTGCAATACACTTGTGCACTGATTAATTTTTAAAAACATAAGTAATGAATTACACATATATTTTTTTAATAGCTTAAGAATTTAGGTTGATTGGTGCGTATATCATGGTAGGTGATTGATAATATGCAAGTTCAAATTTTTTTCACTACCCTAAAATTACTAAAAAATCTATCCGGTCTGCACCTATGAATTGTCGATTCAAACAAACTTTTGGAAGAATGCGTGAGCGAGTTTATCTGTAAATTGCTCAGCCAAGCTGATTAATTCATAGAACTTTTTGCACATTGCATTCCAAAAAATGCCTCGATTTTAACTTTGCACCCTAAATGTCATAAATTAGTTCTAATGTGACCCTCGGACTAACATCTATTTCAGATTCCATTAAAAATTGATGCATTTGTCACACCACGTGTTGCTCTTGAGAAAAAATGTAAAATCATCATTCATATTCTTAGGTGGCATGTTCATCAATTTTTAATAGAATTTGAAACGGATGTTAGTCCGAATGCAATATTAAAACCAATTTATAATATTCATAGTATAATGTGGAAAAAATAATATTTTGAGTTTCAAAGTGAGAATCGAGATATTTCGTAGCGTACAAAGTGTGAAAACCCCTAAATCTTGTGTGAGATGCCTTGTAGTTGGCTGGTGCAATTTTATATCTTTCCAAATTCCAAACCTATGCAATACAGATCTTACACAATCACGTGTTATGACTTAATCATTTTGATTAAATCCAAGTTTTATGCGATTAAAAGCTATGCTAAAACACGTCTTTGGAGCTGATTTTTTTTAAGGTGAAAATGTGTGATTTAAAAATTTTCATAAAAAAATCAGAATTAAAAAGGTCTTCTAAAATCGTTTGAAGTGTTTTTTAAAAAGTTATAAAAATCTGTTTAAAATGACTTTCTAGTTTTTTTTTTTTAGTTTTTGTGTCAAAATAAAAAAATAATTACATGTATGTATAGATTCTGCATAATAATTTCCAAAATATGATTTTTAATTTTTTTTATGTCACTAAATTTTTTTTTTTAATATAATAAACTAAAAAATTATGTGAAACTGGCGACAAAACTCTAAAATGTCTGAATAAAAACCTATAAAAATAAAATCAACTTCTTGAATCAGACTAAATAAATTTTTTTAAATCCAAAAAACTTTTGTATAAGTTTGTCCAGAAATTTGGATCCAAGCATACCTGACTTATTTTACTCCGGAACTTATCAAATAGTTTATTGGTTTTATAATGCAAGCCAGGTAGATACCAATTAGAATTTATTCTAATGATCTTATCATCAATTCTTCTAATTTTTTAATCACCAATCATACTTCTCGACTTTACTTCTTTTCTTACAGCTATCTCACACTAATTCAACTTAGAATCCACTAACCTTCCACTTGCTTTTTGGGACAAATAAAAGTTAAAAANTTTTCTTACAGCTATCTCACACTAATTCAACTTAGAATCCACTAACCTTCCACTTGCTTTTTGGGACAAATAAAAGTTAAAAAGATAACCACATTAGTCAAAATAAGGCATCTTTAAAACTTTCAACAATCTTTTCGACTCATACATTCTAAATTCGAATTTTGACAATTTTTTAGAGTTCGGTCATGAGAGATTTGTCTATCATAAATACTTTAGTCCTGACATAAATGGTTTGTCTTTGACATGATCGGATAGAAGATTAGTCGAGGTGTACGTAAACTAGTCTGAACATCCCTGACCGTTAAATAAAAAAAAATCAAAATCTGTCTTAAAATAGTATTATTATTATTTTTAGAATAACAATATATTTCCGTAATCATTTTGTGCCCAAATAGGGCCACCACCTCTTTCGTGCTAAATTTGCACTTTGCAAATTGTAATCATTTTTGTAACCAAGCGAGAATGAGTCATTTATATAATAATATAAATAATAAATAAGTTAAATTAATTTCGTGCAAAAATTTCTTGAATTTGACACTACAAACATGTTTGACTAATATTGTTTTCTGATTGGATTTTTGCACGAAACATTGTAAAATGAGGCATTATTCTTATATATATTCTATGAAAAACTATATTTAATAGGTTTTGATCGAAAAACAATAGGAATAATTAACTTGTATTTTTCTTGCAATTGCTTGTTCTAAATTTGTACAATCAATTAAATTTTTACACCAAATCAATTGTATCACATTGTATTAGGCTATTTAAATCGTATTTTGAAATTTATTTTTAAAATATTAAATTGATCTCAAATAACCCCATATTATAATAGACTTACTAGATTAAATTAAATGATTTTAATCATAATTGTCATTGAAATCATACCCTAACGGTTATAAATTAGAATAATCATCTAATTGAAACTCCATAAGATTAAGCTTGATCGCTATATCAATCAANTTGAAATCATACCCTAACTGTTATAAATTAGAATAATCATCTAATTGAAACTCCATAAGATTAAGCTTGATCGCTATATCAATCAAAAGGTCTAGTTATAATTTATCTTTTTTTTTAGACAAGGAAACTATGTTATTTACGTGTCAATAGTGTTGGGTAAGGCGGGTTCGTGTCAGATTTTAGCAAGTTCGTATTAAAAAATATNAAAAGGTCTAGTTATAATTTATCTTTTTTTTTAGACAAGGAAACTATGTTATTTACGCGTTAATCGTGTTGGGTAAGGCGGGTTCGTGTCAGATTTTAGCAAGTTCGTATTAAAAAATATTTTTATTAATACCTAATTTATTTATTAATTCGTGTCATATTCTCTAATTTTGTAATGTATTCGTATCGGATTAATAAGTTATTTCATTTTAACTTATGGTTGTAATATCATAAGCTTAATTACGGCAATTAAAAAATCGTTTTTGACGGCGCGCTCTCCCGTTGTCTTGTACTAACCCGGTCGCACTATTTGACGCCGGGGTCAAATGGGTAAAAGCAACGTCTCCGCGTGGGTCGTCGATTATGATTGTCAGATTCTGACATATCTTGATTGGTTGCCGTTTTGCACTTATGCCCCCTAAAACTTGTTTGTTTCCAGTTTCTGGCGTGCAAGCTTTTATTTTGTTTTAGTTCTAAAGCTTTCTCATTATTTGTTTCTCTTTTTTATTCAACAGTTAAGGGTGTTAGAGTCAAATTTTGTGTGTACCTCGATTAATTCTCTCCTTAATCTGGTCAAAAGTAAGCTATCTATATCGAAATATCTGATCCTAAAAAATTGTCAAAATTTAAACTCAGAACATCTCAACTCGTTCATATTACTACTTGAACAATCTTTAGAGTTATAAGCTATTTCAATTTACTAACTCAATTCATGATTGATGTTGAATTATTAGTGGACGTCATTCAATTGTAAGACACCACTAATTTAGCTGCAATAGGGAATTCATATAATAAATTATTGTCACATCCACACCGTATATATACAGTAATAGAGAGTTATTGTTTTTGTCGATTTAAACAAACTTTCTACATTCTTAGTTGATTGGTCAATAATAGAATCTGCAAAAAGTAAAATGAATGCCAAAAAGCCATCAAGTGATTAAATAACATAACTTTAAGGACTAATATCATAATTTTTTAAGTTTGAGTTGTATAAAAGGCATCGTAATTGACCCGATATACGTAGTTATAGGTGATTGTTGACCTCTCTACTATAAAGATATGATTGAGGTAACTTTCAACTACACTAAAATGGTATCTCTAGTCTAGTGATATATCCAAAGATCTTATGTAGTGAATGCCACAGCTGTAACTGCACTAATGCAGCCTCTATCAACTGATAATTTTATATGTAAACTGGACCAAGTTTGGAGTAAATACATAAATGAAAACAGCCTGTAGTACAAAAATACAAACATCAGGGGTACTATGTACATGAACAGTGAAGTATAGGGGTAATAAACTAATAATGCAATTAATACACCAATTAAATTTCACTCGGTTTTGCACTTTCTACAACCCCTCCTTGACATGTGGCTCAAGTGCACTCCGCAGCTTCCGACCTCCTTCCTCTCAACTTCCATCTTTCTCTATCTCTCTCCCTCTCTCTCTCTCAACCCCACTCACTAACGCCTTGTGATTCGTCTGATTCTGATGAGATTCGAGGTTCAATTTCTCTGCGGAGAATCGGTGAGCCTCTGTTTCTCTACAACTTCACTGATTCTCCATGGTCGTTAATATCAAAATTTTCTTAATTCTGAAATCTATAGTCGGGGTTTTAAGAAATTTATCTATTGGTTGAGTTGATGCTTTGATTGTTTTTTAAATAGTTTTTGTACAGTTTTTAGTGCTTTTCTATGACCGAAGGTTTTTTTAGTGTGATCTGGGTTTTAATTTAGACGACCTTTTTTAGTTGTTGAGATCATTGCTCGATTGGGTTTTGCTCTTTAGGTTTAAGAGAATTTGGTGTTTTGCTTGTTATTCTGAAATTTAGTCTCCCACGAATCATGTTGTGGGTTGCTGGAAATCTGTATTTTTTGTGTGTGTGACTGTATATATATATATTTGAGTTAGGTTCTGTTTGGATGGAATTGTTAATAGCACGTTTTAATGTAGAAAATGGACTGTGGAGATGGTAGAGAAAACAATTCATGTAGAGACAGGAGCAAAAAATGAATATTGGCAAACGGGCCCTAAGATGAAGTTGTAAGGATCAGTTAGGTGGCAACACTCACTTCTCCTATATCTTACGGAAAATATTGGACATATTTTCTTTGCCTGCTATCATTGAGATAATGAAGGATTAATCTTACCATTTGGTGATGTTTCTGGAGTTTCTCTGGTATTCTATTGCATGTAGAAACCAAATTCTTCTTGGGGGGGTTTTCAGGTTTATTTTTGTGTCATTTGTTATTTTTACTGCTTGATCAACGTTCTATTTGATTTTTTATTCAGAATCAAGAGAATTGCTAGGGGCTTTGGATTAGAGGTGCTGCTGTTGATCTTTTTTGAGGTGAGAAATGGTTGGTGAGTCATGGTACCGTAGTTTGTGGAGACCTTCAAGGAAGCATGAGGTTGGTCCTGGGAAGGTCTTAATTGGCGTATTGGCATTTGAAGTGGCAAGCTTGATGTCTAAGCTGATTCACCTCTGGCAATTTCTGAATGAAAAGCAGGTTGTTAAGTTGAGGGAGGAGATCATGAATTCTGTGGGTATTAGGAAGCTTGTATCGGATGAAGATGATTACATTGTAGGTTTGATGTGTGCAGAGATGATTGAGAACTTCGGACAAGTGGCAAGAATTGTGGTTAGACTTTCCAAGAAATGCAATGATCCTTTTTTAAAGGGTTTCGAGCATGCAATCGATGATCTAATCAATATTGGTGCTGACCCATATGGATGGCAATTTACGTGTAAGAAGATGGACAGGAAGGTTAAAAAGATGGAACGGTTCATTGTAGTCAATTCAAATTTGTATCAAGAAATGGAAGCACTTGGGGAGCTTCAACAGACTATGAGGAGAATGAAGAATGATGATGAGGCAGATAGCATTAGTTTGGTTGAATATGAGAAGAAGATTGCATGGAAGCAACAGGCAGTGAAACATCTAAAAGAGATATCTCTGTGGAACAGGACTTATGATTACACTGTTCGCCTTTTGGCAAGATCCCTATTCACTATCTTTGGTAGGATTCGACAAGTATTTGGAGTTGATCATGTAGTTGATGTGGGAACCAAAGACTCAGGAGTTTTGAATTCTGATTACATTCATCGCAGCCCCTCAGTTTCTATGTTGATGCAGTCCTCAGTTCACCCATCCGAGGACAGTACTGCTAGGTTTTCTTCTGGTCCCTTGGGAAGCTTAACAACTAAATCTGGTCCTCTTTTAAGAACAGATAAAACGAGCTTTTTTCATTCAGGCCCTCTTGGTAACTCGATCAAGGAGTCAGCCCCTATTTCTGGAAGACATAGAACTTTGAATTTCTATTCAGGTCCACTTGGGAGGTCAACTACAAAGTTGGGTCCTCTACTTAGGGCAAGTAAAACTGGCATGAGGTGGTGGAAGACTCGTGATCATTCATCGACCATTCATGGAAATGGTCCATATTTGAAACCCAGTCGGCTGACTACTGTTGGGCCTTTCAAAGGATGCATGATGGGTGGAAACAGGTCGCCTGTGAGAAATTGTCATGTAAGTACCACTGGTGTTTATCCTAGAACCCAGTGTGGAAACAAAGATACAAACGTAAACCTTCATGCTTGCAGCAGCTTAGTTCAGGGCAATCTATCAATTGTCCGCTCCAAACACAGGCTGTTGAATGCTCCCCCTGAAACTCTTGGTGTTGCCTCATTAGCACTGCACTATGCGAATGTTATTATTGTAATTGAGAAGCTAGCAGCATCTCCTCACTTGATTGGTCATGATGCGAGAGATGACCTGTACAATATGTTGCCAGCACGGGTAAGATCTGCCCTCAGGGCAAAGCTAAAGCCATATACAAAGAACTTGGTTTCATCAGTTTATGATACAGTTCTTGCGGGAGAATGGAGTGAGGCAATATCAGGAATATTAGAATGGTTGGCTCCACTTGCTCATAACATGATAAGATGGCAGTCTGAGCGGAGCTATGAGCACCAGAATTTAGTTTCTAGAACAAATGTGCTTCTTGTGCAAACTCTTTATTTTGCAAATCAGGAAAAAACAGAAGCAACAATTGCTGAGCTTCTAGTTGGTCTGAACTATGTGTGGAGATTTGGTAGAGAACTCAATGCACAAGCTTTAATGGAGTGTGTTAGTGGCAACACATTAGATGATTCTTTGGATTTAAGTGGGTAGAAATATCTTCATCTTCTGGCAGTGAGCAACTGATTCCCAGTTACCATCATAGTGGATGTTTATTATGTGTTGCATTGGGAGAGAAGTTCTATCACCTGCCTAGTACACAAGGCTTCTTAATGCAGCTTGATAGATGCTGGTCACGCTCTGGATAATGAAGCTCTGGTGTGACATTAAGACACCTCCTTTTGCATTGTTCCACCGAGAAGGCATTCTTCCTGCAGTAGAGGTAGCTTTTGTGCATCAAAACATTTTTTTCATTAGGTCAGAACTATGACCTTCTCCCCTTTGGCTGTGAAATTTCGTTTCGATTTTAACTACTCTGTTAAGAGGAATCTGCATCATAGACCTATGCTTTCTCTGATAGTTGTATAGTTATTGGCAGCACTCGTTCCAAGTATTACGAATTGCTTATAAATGTGTTCCTTCAGAAACATAAATATGTTTGAAATGGGGCCTCTTTTGTTCAATATGATTATTTTTATTAATGTTATGTTCCCAAGTGATCTGCTACAAAAAAAGTCAAACAGCATGTTAATCAGACTGCTTAAAGTTAACATCAGCTCAAGCTCTCATTTTGCCTGCGATATTAGTCTATTACAAGGTCTGATACAGTTGGTAGTCAGGTCATGGGGACTTTGTTTCCTGCAGTCTAAATTGTTGGATGCAGCTTTCTGTAATTGAAGGATTTTTGTCTACTCCATTGATGATTATGCATGGATTTGTAATCGTCTGCATGAGATGTATGTAGTATGTGATCCCTCATGCATAAGACTCCCCAGGGCTTGATGGAGTTGTATCCAGACTAGTTGCCTCACACTTAAATTACTTGGATATTGCTAAGAGTCATAAGATCTTGTTGCTCCTGTATGGATTCATGCATGGATGGAAGACTGGTAAAGGTCTGCAATCTGCATCATTATATTTCTAGTTTATCCTTATGAAGGACCTATTATTATTGGCATGACCATGTAAACAATATGAATTATCGATGTTCTGTCTTTCAGTTGTTTTACAGAAGATTGGGGGAAAGCTCTTTTGAGTTGTGACACAGCACATGGTGTATAGAGTATTGTTAAAACTTTAGTTATGAGCACTTTCACTGGCATGTCCAGTCTATTAGCTTGCAATTGACAATTAGTAGAAGACAAGTTTTGGCTTGTGCACGTCTCAAACTCTAAAATTTGAAGAGGTGCTGGTGCAAATTTATACAAAGGGGTTGTGAATTCCTGAATCCTGACAAGTTGTTTATCTCCCTAATATTATTTACCTACTCCCAACCCTCCATTTAGGTCCATTCTATATACTTGTTATGAGAGTAGCACAAGTTTGAGAGAGTGTTTTCTTAAACGTGTTCCCCCTGCTTTTTGAAATTTCCATTATATCCAACTTGCCCTTTCAGACCTAAGCACACCTAGTCAAAAATCTCTCTTAAAATGTATACCTTTTTCCCTATGCCATCTAAGTCAGTTTACTGCTGGCATTGGAACTCAACCCATGTCAACGTTTTTAGCTAGGACTACATTAGGTTGTGATGGGACAGAATTGTGTTTGTGTGAATCCCTTGATGTGACCAATTTCTCTCTCTCTCTCTTGTGTATGAATGCTTACCATGTATTTGTGCACATATTATGTTTTGTGACATTAAGCATGATTTTTTTACCATAAACCAGAGACTCCCTCTAATCCAACATGCTTCACATTCAAATGGAACCTGTATTAATGTTGTATCTGGATCAGGTTCACACGTCCGGGATAGTTTTTTAGTCAACATTCCACTAACTTCTTTCTAATGCCATTACTGTGTTATTGGCAATTGTGTTGATTATCAGTGATGTGACTGTTGTGCTCAAGTTATTTTTTCTTGAAATTTATACATATTTTCTACGATTTTGCTGGAGTTCCTTTCAAACCAGCCGTGATGGTGAGGAGTCCAACGTGGATCTTGTTCAGATTCAGATGCCATGATTGATTTTCAAATCCAGTCTCTGGTGAATATTGTGTTTGGAATCTTTTGATCAGCTTCAATGGTCTGGGATAATTTTGTAGTTCAAGTTGGACCAACTTTCTGAAGCTGTGCATGCAACCAGGAGGATCCCTCTTACTCAGCTTCATCGTCAATTTTGCTATAGAGGAACCTTGCATCATGCTGAAGGAAGGCAGAGTTTGTGTTGATCTTACCCTGTTGGACTTCCCCCTAATGCAAGCAAAGGTGGTCTCAGGTTCGTGTGTGCTGTCTATCATCAACATGAAAGATGTAATTTGGATTAACAAAGTTAACCCCTTATTACGGGACTCCATCCCCTTTGGAAATTAGGCAATACCAGGATCCAAAACAATATTTAAATATATTAGTAATAACTTGTGCCGGAAGGCATAATGCAATATAAAAGTAGAGCAAAGAATTGAGCCCACTATATGAAATATTAAATTGTGATNTGGATTAACAAAGTTAACCCCTTATTACGGGACTCCATCCCCTTTGGAAATTAGGCACTACCAGGATCCAAAACAATATTTAAATATATTAGTAATAACTTGTGCCGGAAGGCATAGTGCAATATAAAAGTAGAGCAAAGAATTGAGCCCACTATATGAAATATTAAATTGTGATAAATCACTTTTTTTATTAACTCGACAAAATCCGTGCATGAAGGCATTATGCTACACAAAATCGAGCACTAATCATACAATATAGATATTTTTAATACCATACAAATATTTGTACTTACCATTTCAAATCAATCTAAACCTAAAAAAAAATTTGATAGTCTATTTTAAAAAGGGGAATACAAAAAATCAATTTGTGTATATAATTTATTGAATGACTAAGAAGCTCATGAATTTAAAGAAAACATGATCTAATTCATTATCGGATTTAATATTATGCTCTAATTTTAAGTTGACAAAATTATTTAGCAACATAGTAATAAAACAATAGAATGAAGTTATGTTTTATATGTATAAATTTACATATGTCAAATTCAACATGTAATTCTAAATGTACANGAATGACTAAGAAGCTCATGAATTTAAAGAAAACATGATCTAATTCATTATCGGATTCAATATTATGCTCTAATTTTAACTTGACAAAATTATTTAGCAACATAGTAATAAAACAATAGAATGAAGTTATGTTTTATACGTATAAATTTACATATGTCAAATTCAACATGTAATTCTAAATGTACGNCATGAAGGCATTATGCTACACAAAATCGAGCACTAATCATACAATATAGATATTTTTAATACCATACAAATATTTGTACTTACCATTTCAAATCAATCTAAACCTAAAAAAAAAGTTGATAGTCTATTTTAAAAAGGGGAATACAAAAAATCAATTTGTGTATATAATTTATTGAATGACTAAGAAGCTCATGAATTTAAAGAAAACATGATCTAATTCATTATCGGATTTAATATTATGCTCTAATTTTAAGTTGACAAAATTATTTAGCAACATAGTAATAAAACAATAGAATGAAGTTATGTTTTATATGTATAAATTTACATATGTCAAATTCAACATGTAATTCTAAATGTACGCATTTAATTGATATCCTTTAATTGACCCATTGTTTTGAAATTAATCGTTAAATAAGATTCCATCAAATTAACACTATTTTTATGAAAATGCCGCACAAAATTACATGCGGAATGCTATAGTCCAGACACGCGGAATTGCGTAGGAATGGATGTAATATTTTGGGTGAAAAAACAAAATTAACAATGATTTTCAACCATTGATTAAAATAAACATAATTTTAAGACGATCTCAACCGTGAAAAACTAAAGTTATTATGTTTATTTTTNCCATTGTTTTGAAATTAATCGTTAAATAAGATTCCATCAAATTAACACTATTTTTATGAAAATGCCGCACAAAGGGTAGGCCTGGCTAATTAGTTTATAGGTTACTACTCTTTCATGTGACTCCCCCATATCCACGTTGAATGCTAGAGCCCATAGATTAATTAGCTTAGCTTATATTTGGTGAGCCAGTCCCCATAGCTTAGCTTGGCACACAGAGAGAGAGAATGCTATAGTCCAGACACGCGGAATTGCGTAGGAATGGATGTAATATTTTGGGTGAAAAAACAAAAATTAACAATGATTTTCAACCATTGATTAAAATAAACATAATTTTAAGATGATCTCAACCGTGAAAAAGTAAAGTTATTATGTTTATTTTATGAAATTTGAATTATCTTATATTTTTTGTTTGTGGTATTCTAAATATAATAAAATCACTTATTGAAATTTCTAATATTGTGTAACTTAGAATAAAATAGTAACAGTCAAATGCAAAAAAAGTTACACAGAATATAGAAACACTTGCAGAAGAATTAACGAAACAGTTATAATAGTCTTAAAGAAACAGTTACACGTAACTGTTTGTTTAACCAATATAAATACTAACTCATTTATAGAATAAGAACTGTTATTGAACTTTAAGTATATCAAGATTAGTGTTTGACACTATGTTTTTAAGACAGATTTCGCCCCCACACACGGTGCTTATAGAATATAAAGTGTTTGCCTCCTAAGATACAATGATCTTCACACAAGTAGAAGTAACACTCCAATTTACCCGTACNCACTTATTGAAATTTCTAATATTGTGTAACTTAGAATAAAACAGTAACAGTCAAATGCAAAGCAGTTACACAGAATATAGAAACACTTGCAGAAGAATTAACGAAACAGTTACAATAGTCTTAAAGAAACAGTTACACGTAACTGTTTGTTTAACCAATATAAATACTAACTCATTTATAGAATAAGAATTGTTATTGAACTTTAAGTAGATCAAGACTAGTGTTTGACATTATGTTTTTAAGACAGATTTCGCCCCCACACACGGTGCTTATGGAATATAAAGTGTTTGTCTCCTAAGATACAATGATCTTCACACAAGTAGAAGTAACACTCCAATTTACCCGTATAGCGAACCAGAAATTATGTTATGTACTAAATACAGACTACCTTAATGTTGAAATGTAATGATCTAATGTCTGACTTAACTTTAAAAAGGACTGATGAATGAATGAATGCCGAATGGTAATGAGAGTCTGGTTATTTATAGACAGTCTGGTGACTATTCCGGATAGCCACCATACTCTAAGACACAACCCAAAAAACAAATACAACATTCAGAAGATACCACTTGTGTAACTGTTCTCTATAAACAAACACAACACAAAATTTCAAATTGAAGGAAATTACCCTCCAAACCAGTGCGAATTCAAATGTAACAGGTACAAAAATTTAATTTTGGTTCAGAAATTATTGCCTAATTAATTAAGCGAATTTTCTTTAAGAAGATAGGATTTGGTCACACCCAAACCCGTGCCCGATCGGGTCATGGCTTGGCGAGCAGGGTGCGTGTGGTAGAACTGAAGGCATGTAAGCACTCCTTCGCTCATAAAATTATGGTATGCCTTAGGATCTAATCCCATAGAGCAAATTTGGCCTATATATGTCAATGTAGAATTTCTTCCTCAACCAATGTGGGATTGATGTCAAATCACATATTGCACAACCTCTATTTTCTCGTTTCAAGTGAGTCACTTTAGAGCCTATTTTCTCATTTATTTCTTATTCAATTTGAGCAACTGAATATACTAAATTATTCTTCTCACAGAGTAGAATACAAACTCAAGAAAGTTTACTCAAAATAATGAACAGGTCTCACTTTAATTTAGGTTCAAAGTCGACCAAAAATTCAGTTTTTACACTTAAAAAATTGATTTGGTCCAACAATCTCCCACATGAATGAAAAATTGGCTGTTAGTATACAAATGATAATGCTGACACACTATAAAGTATACATATTTGGAAAGATCGTGCATCGAGATAGGTAGTTTTTGGTTTTGAACTTTCCCTAGTGAAAGTCCATCGAACTTACCGGCTAAATAGTGAACGTGATGTCTTAAACTATTTAGTTGTTTGATAAATTAGATCGAATAAACTTTACACTGTCTCTTTCCTAACATAGTTAGTTCTCATAATTGTGTTCATTTTAGCCTTGAAAAACTCCTGGTTTTCATGATTATTTTAGAGAATTTAGCCTTTATAAATTCTCACAGAAGCGACTCCTTCACACCAATATAGGTGACTCCTATTATGAATATCCTGCAATATCTCATTTGAATTTTTCAAGGTATAAAAGTCATGAAAAGCATAGTTTATCCTAATAAACTCTGCAGACAGCACTAGTTTATCATAGAAATAGTCAGGAGAGATTATTTATTTAGTACTTCTTTTGAATCATGCATAATTCGGTTGTCCCTTTGAATCTAGATCTTGGGATTTCTAGTCAATTAATTTGGATTGTCATTAAGGTGACTCTTATGCCATAGGCTTTAGCCTCATTCCCCTTGATGTGTAATTTATTTGCTCTCTCGTCAAACCTTTAATAAGCGGATCCGCTAGATTATCCTTTGATTTTATATAATTAATAGAAATAATCTCATTTGAGAGCAATTGTCTAACGGTATTATGTCTAGACTTACCATTATACATGTCACTTTGTGCCCTACCAATTGCAGATTGGTTATCGCAACATATACAAATTGTTGGCACAAGTTTAGGCCATTTTGAAATATCTTGTAGAAATTGGCGAAGCCACTCATCCTCTCCTGCTTTATCTAAAGCAATAAATTCAAATTCTATAATGGATCTGAAAATACACGTTTGTTTAGAGGATTTCCAAGATACAACTGCACCATCAAATGTAAAAACATAACCACTTGTGAATTTTGCATCCTTCATATTAGATATTCAGTTCGCATTACTATATCCTTCAAGTACAACTGGATATTTTGTATAGTGCAATCCAAAATTCAAGGTATATCTTAAGTATCTAAGAACCTTGATAATTGTCTTTCAATGGTCTACTCTCGAATTACTCATATATCTACTCAATTTATTAACTAAGTATGTTATATCCCGTCTAGTGCAGTTCATAACATACATTTGACAATTAATGATACGAGAGTATTCTAATTGTGATATGTTTTATCCAGTATTTTTAGACAAATGAAGATTTATATCAACTGGTGTTCTAGCAATACTGTTTTCATCTTTGTCGAACTTCTCAAGTATTTTTTCAATATAATGTGATTGAAATAATATAAGTCCATCAGATATTCTAGAAATTTTAATTCCTAGTATAATATCTGCAACACCCAAATCTTTCATATCAGACTTACTAGATAACATTTTCTTGGTCGCTGTAATAATATTATTATTACTGCCTAAAATAAACATATCATCCACATATAGACAAATAATTACATCCATTATTTGTGTCTTTGACATAGACACATTTATCACATTTATTAATTGTGAAACCATTTGACATCATTACCTTATCAAATTTCTCATG